TGTATTTTTTCTTCAAGATACATCGATACAAACTAAAAGTGACAAAAAAAGTCTAAACAAATTTATTTTAGACCCAAACTAGTCCAACTTCTCCATTGCATCAAGGTGCTTGATCCAAGTTCAACAAAAAGCACAATTACACAACTTCTTTTCAAGAACCACAATATGAATAAACACTCCTTAGACCAATGCGTTTGAACAATGCTTAAGAATTGATGAATATAGTATTCCCTTGGTGCCTTTAGAGACAATGTGCTCACTGCTCAACAAGCTTAGTAAGGAGGACACCTAAAACTCATAGAGGTGATGTGGACCTTTAAACTAATTAGAAACGAAAAATAAATCTTAAAATACTATGCATTTTCTTTCACAAGATACTAAAACAAAAGCTCCTATATCTGATTCATCCTTCTATGATATTGTTGGATTTCTTTATAAACTACGTTCATGGCCTGAATAGATGTGGATTATTCACGTCTTTGATTGTTGCAGTTGAGTTTTTTAATGAAACTGCTTGTAATTTGGTTGATTTGCTCCACCATTATAAACATTCAAATTCATTGATTGAATGTTCACAATATAACAATATGCTTGAGTAACTTTTCTTTCAACAACCTCAAATTTAACTGAATCTTCCATCTTTTTTTTTCACTTTTACAATAAAATCATATCATCTTCCATCTCTTTTTCTTGTTTTATAACAAAATCATCACTCCCAGATGAAGGGGATGAGGAAAAATACAGTAACACCAACTTATTGTGGCCATACATTATAAAACTCAAAATAGAGCAAAAAAGTGTCAAAGATGTAACAAACTTCTAACCTTCTATTCCATTTTCTCATCTTTAATTCCTAATTTTGACTCTCTCACAAGTTCCTCAACTAATCATGGCCATCACACACTCAGGAAGATCTCACCACTTACATCTGACATTGAGAGATCAAAGATAGGGATGTTTGAAACTAAACTAACTCAAACAAAAAATTGCAAACATAAAAGAAAAAAATTGAAAACTAATAAAGAATGACAAATTGACGATTCAATTTGATTTTTAAATTCCTTAAACCAAGTGATTTTGGTTTAGTTTTTGGATTGAAATTTTGAACCCACTCCAAATCAAATCAAAGTGCACTTATTTGTAATTTTTTTTTCCAAATGCATAGTGCAGGTATACAAAATTTACACATAACATAAAATGTGTTTTTATAAAATTGTAAGCTACTAAAAAATATTTTCCCTTCAAATATACGTTATAATATTTAAAAGATATTTGATGTAATTGTAAGCTACTAATATGAATTTCAGAATGGAAAAATATGAATTATTTATAATATTTGAAAAATTAATAATTTTTTAAGTGAAAAACTACATTGATGAGAAAAATATTTAATATGATAATATAAATTATATTAAAGAAATATTTTTACTAAATAATAAGATAAAAATTGGTGTTAAAATAAATATATTAAATGATCAGAATATTTTAATATTTGTATACTTTTAATTTTACTTTTGACATACGATCTTAAATAAATAACATAGTATTACATATTTTTAAGTTATTTTTAAATAAAAAAATTTTAAAACTACAAAAATTAAACCATAGCAAACCACAAAAGTTTGATTTGCTTTAGTTTGGATTTCATAATTTATTAAAATCAAACCAAATCATACCAAATCGTACTTAATTTTCTTATTTGGTTTGGGTGACTTTTAAGACAAACTTAGCCAAATCGCACTGCAAATACCTTAGTTAGAGACCTCTCTTGTGCACTTGTGCCTAATGTGACCTTGATCATGCCTAACAATATTTGTTTGGCTTTCGTGGCCTTCTCTAAGCCTAACCCTTGACACGTTAAGCATGCACCCAACTCTATTGTAGATTCTACTTTATCATAGATTCTACCCTTTGTAGAATCACGAACTTTGTGAATTAGAATTCCCTAGCCTTTTTGAATTCATCTTAGCATCTTTTAAACTCCAATTAAATGACAACATATGTCTAATTTACACATAAAACATAATCCTCGTAAATAAACTCATTCATCCAATTTGCATAAAACCTCAAGTCATCATGCAACCTTAACCATCCAACATTAATCACAATTAATTATGAAAATTCACCTCATACTCAATCGTGCAATAACAATGACATCATACAATTAGAGGTTGTCTTATTACCCATACCTCTTATTCGTGCTCACAAGTGAGACATCTTTACTCCCCCTCTTACCTTAGATGGTCATCTCCAAGCCATAGGCATAATCCTTGTTAGTTTTGAGGTTACTCATTGGAATTCACCTTTACAATTTTCTCTGCAACTATTCTTTGGGGTTTTAGAAATTGATGCACAACCTAACTAAACCCTGTATCCAAAATTTACGACTTTTCTCTAATCAACAGTTATCTTCTATTTTATTTTAATTATTAAAATCATCTTTTATCATAAACTCAATTAATATATTAATTAAGTAAATGATATAGATATTAAAACATCTAAGTTGAGTTCTACTAAAACGAATTACCACCATTTTGTGTATATTAATATACTCATTTCTTGTAATAGTTTTTAAAAATCAATTAATATATTTTTTAAATTTTATAAACACATTATTATTCACAAATATATTATAAATGTTTTATAGATTCAACTAAATATTTACCATCAATGATAAGATAACACTGATGAATTATTAATGTATTTGTTAAATTTCACTTATGATTCAATTTCAAAAAGATTAATTGAAGAGTTTAATGCAATTTCATGGACAATAAGACACCAATAATATGTTAATGGACATTTGGGTTGGATTTAAATATATCCTACAAACCCTAGAAGTTGCTTCTTCTAGACCTTTCTCTTTCTCTTTCTTTTTTATTTTTATTTCATAAACCCCATGCAAACTCTCTCTTTTTACATTTGCATTTCTTTGCTACATTTTTAAATCTTTTATCTCTATCGCTTTCACATTCATATTTACTTATAGTATTGCCTTAAAAGAAAGGTTACCCTTCAACTCTACTTATTACCCATATATTATAGAATTGTGTGCAACATCAATTGGTGATAAATTAATAAAATTATCGGTCTTTTGGTAGAAGATACTAGATTGAAAAAACAATCTCACGAGTATTAACTTATATCAATTTCTTTAATAGTCCTTTTCCATAAGATTTTATCTTAAAAAAAATAATTATGTCATTCTCTAATTAGTCTTCTAGTTGTGTTGTAAATGGTTTATTAGAACACTAAATGAAATGTTTTGAATTGAATATGTAACATATTTACCTCCATTAATAATGAGATATTTTAAAAATATTTATAAAATTATAAATGAGAATCAACAATATATTTAGTGATTTGACAAAAAAACAAAATGTTATTTCAAGCACTTAAATCCATTGTTATCAAGTGTAGTCTATGTGAATTGTTATACCATGTATGGAAGTAAATACGAGAATTTACAATTAAATGACTTAAATATGATTTTAGTTTATGTGAAATGAAAGAATTTTGATTTTGATCTTTGTAATTTTTTTTGTTTTATATTTTTGATCCCTTTAAAATGAGTAAATTTTGATTTTAATTTCTTGTAAAATATTTATCTTTAATTTTTATACTTCTCAAATCTAAAATCATTATTTTTTTTAATCTAACGATAATTTTAAGACAAATAAGTAATATTTATTTTAAGAACTTATAAAAATTTTTGAGGTGTTACTTGACCTTTTAATAAACAAATACGAAGTAAAAAGTGATTACATAATAAAAACTTTAAAAAGAATAATTCTAAATTTTAGATAATGAATAATAAAGAATTTTTTTATATGAACCAAAATTAAAACTTGTTCATTTTATAGAGACTAAAAATATATTTAAATTTAATTAATTATAATTGTGAACAATCTAATGAGAATCATACAAATATTTTTAATTTATCATTATAATAATTTTAATATAAAATATTATTCTTACTTTTCTTCTAAATTATTTTATTGAATATTACATTTTATGTAACATATAAAATATAAATAATATATAATAAATAGAATGAACAACTTCATGAAAATATGAACAGAAATTTACACACTTAAAAAATATTTATTTATATTAATTTGGATAGAATATTTTCATAAAAATAAAATTGAATTTAATTAACATGAAAAAACATTAGCTACCTCAAGTGTTGATGAAAAAATTATAATTATATCAAATTGTGTAAAGAAATAAATAAAAAATATAGAGAAATGAAAATTACAAATAACCATTGGCCAGCGGAGACCTGTGAAAAACAAGAGCTTGTATAAATAAAGATGAGAAATAAACAACACATGAGAAATTAAAGGTTAAAAAATGGACAACGTGTGAAAAAAAAATTTTATTGAAAAAATAAATCATATGAAAAGATGTATGAATAAGTAAAAAACAAAATTTTTAAAACAATTTCAATAAAAGTAAAGTACTTTCATTTTATTTTAAAAAGATTTATAATGCTATATAGAAGGCATGTCCACTTTTATTCGGTATTTTTAGTTTTTACATTGAAAAAGTTTTTCACCAAAAATATCATATCCAAAAATAAGTATCGTTGTCTGAAATATGGACACTCACATTAGTAAATATGATAAGACAAAATAATCATTAATTAATGTATATACTAATGTTTTAATTTAAAAAATATTAGCAATATATTTTTGACACATTATTTTGAATACTATTTAAAATTGATTAAAATTTATTAAAAAACATAAAATTTAATAAGTCTCATATCATATTCAATGATTTTCTCAACTTTGTAGTTTTCAATAAAAATATATATATTGAGAAGAATGTGTTAAAAAATATATTATTAATGTTTTTCATATTTTAAAAGTAAAATATTTATTATATATAACTAAATTTTATAATAAATTATTAAAAAAACTATATTATAATATAGGATAAGATCGAATAATCATTAACGAATGTATATATATGTTAAATTGCATAAGTGACTCGAATTCGAAAAGGAAGAATAACTCAATTGCAAATTTCGTGGGCAAAACGATAAGTTAAAGTAGTTTGTTGGGTTTAACTTGAAACTCTAAAACCCTAGTAGCCGCTTCTTCTAGACCCTTCTCTTTTCATTTCATAAACCCCACGCACACTCTCCTTTGCATTTGCATTTGCATTTGCATTTCTTTACTGCATTTTCCCAATCTTCTCTGTCTTTCATATTTACATCATGTATCGCTTTGCTTCTAGTCTCGCCTCCAAAGCAAGGTCAACCTCCGATACCACTCTTGCTTTTGTTTGTTCACTTTTTTCCTGTGTTGTGTGGAAGTTAAATTGTTCATCTGGGTCGCGCAGAAAAACTTGTAAAACGGATCAAAATATGATTTTTTTTTAATTACTATTTCATTGGGTATCGTGTGTTTGATCCTTACTTGTTGGGTGCTTATCTGTTATTTGGAAGGTAACACGTGATTGGGAACAGTGAAATTGTTGTTCTGACTGTGAAATGATGTTTCATTGGTTGCAGGATCGCTAGGAGTAGCCGCCAACAGGTGGAATGTTTTAAATGGCTCCATTTCTTTTGCTGTATTGAAATGTTGGCATTTGGAAATGTTTTGGAGACTGGTAAGGGTGAATTTTTATTCTTTGTTACATGCTGTAGGTTGGAAGTAGGTTGAGTTGGAGCAGGAACTATGCGGCTAAAGACATTAAATTTGGTGTGGAGGCTCGGGCTCTGATGCTTAAGGGTGTCGAAGATCTTGCTGATGCTGTCAAAGTAACCATGGGTCCCAAGGTAATTGAGTGGATTGTTTATTTGCTTCTTGTGTATGTTATTTATTTTTGTTTTTAAAGTCATTGTTGTGTTGGATGGAGAAAATTATTGTTGGTAATGTTGTCAAAGTAACCATTAGTGTATGTTGCAACTAATTGTATGATTGGGATTGCTGACCTCGGATGTTTACGATGTCAATTATTGCTTTTATGTGGGACAAAAGTCACTATTTGACTTAAGAATGAAAGATTTTAATACTGGTCTGTTTTGAGTGTGTATTGCCAATTGCCATTGTTCAGTAGGTGTTGTTCATGTTGGTTGACGTTGAGTTTATTATCATTTAGGGTCGTAATGTGGTGATTGAGCAAAGCTTTGGTGCTCCTAAAGTAACCAAAGATGGTGTAACTGTTGCAAAGAGCATTGAATTCAAGGATAAAGTTAAGAATGTTGGTGCCAGTCTTGTGAAGCAGGTTGCTAATGCTACTAATGATGTGGCTGGTGATGGTAAGCTGATATATACAAAGAAAATTGTACTTGATAGTTAAATCTTCTCCATTGACTACTTTGTTACTTTCAAAATACTAGAGTGCATGATCCTGTGATCATTGAAAAATTAACTTGTGTATCATCTTAGGATGTGCTATAGATGCAAGAAGAATATAAGATGACAATGAGCATGCTGGTATTACGACTGAATAATGAGGGAGCATGTCAATTGTTTTGCAGGAACCACATGTGCTACAGTCCTTACACGTGCAATATTTGCTGAAGGCTGCAAATCAGTTGCGGCTGGAATGAATGCAATGGACCTGAGGCGTGGTATAAGTATGGCTGTTGATGCTGTAGTGACAAACTTGAAAAGCAGAGCAAGGATGATTAGCACATCTGAAGAAATCGCACAGGTTTATTGATCAAACTTTGTTATTGCCTCTCCTCAGTCCTCGCATATTGCAAGAGATGCTAATAAGGACTGTTTCAGTTTTAACTTTAATTTCTATTTTTGAATTTGCATTGATAGGTTGGGACAATATCTGCTAATGGAGAAAGGGAAATTGGTGAGTTGATTGCAAAAGCCATGGAGAAAGTTGGCAAAGAGGGAGTAATCACAATTTCAGTAAGTTTTATCTGATTATTCTATTGTTGATCACTGTTGTAATAGTGTTATCTTGATAATGAAATGCTGCCAGAAGCTTCCTCTGAAGTGTTCTTATTTTTCCCTTACCCCCCCTCCCCCCAAAAAACCTTGTTTTAGATTCCATCTTGGTCATATGTAATGAAGTCATTTCTTATTCTTCTCTTATCCCTGACTCCTATCTGCTTTGAAATTTTATCCCTTTTATATTTGTATCTTACAAGGCTTGATCATTGAACTATTTCAGGACGGCAAAACTTTATATAATGAGTTAGAAGTTGTTGAAGGAATGAAGCTTGACAGGGGCTACATATCTCCTTATTTCATAACAAATGATAAGAACCAGAAATGTGTATGTTCTCTCTTTATTTCTCTATGTCACAACATAAGAAATTTAGAATATTTATAGCAGTTTGTCAAATCCCTTATTCATGAACCTTTCATTTGTTTTATATGTGCTTAACCATGCCATGTCCTGTGCCTATAGGAACTTGAGGATCCCCTCATTCTAATACATGAGAAGAAAATCTCAAGTATAAATGCTGTAGTTAAAGTCTTAGAGTTGGCTTTGAAGGTGAGCAGTATCATTCACTTTCTTTTGCATTTGACTTCTAAATTGTTGATATTAGCTGACACATACTGATCTCCAGAGACAAAGACCATTATTGATTGTAGCCGAGGATGTTGAAAGTGATGCACTTGCAACTCTTATTCTAAATAAGCTTCGTGCTGGCATTAAGGTTTGTTTTACCTGTTTGTAGGTTAGGTTTTTATGTCGTAGGTTCCTAAAATTTTGAATTAGTAGCTTTACAGAGCCTGATGTTATTTATATGATGCTTTGCTGTAGGTATGTGCTATCAAAGCCCCTGGTTTTGGTGAAAACAGGAAAGCCGGTCTTCAAGATCTTGCAGTACTAACAGGAGGAGCTGTAAGTTTACTGTTATCTGAGGTTACTGCTGCATTAAATTTTGTGAACTTGTTAATGATACCTTTTCTGTATCCTTATAGCTTATCACTGAAGAGCTTGGCTTGAAGCTTGAAAAAGTAGATCTGGATATGCTCGGCTCTTGCAAAAAAGTAAGATTTTTAGCTTCATTTTAAAGCATTTGAATCAGCCATATAATTTTAGTACGTTTTCCCTCTTAATGTTCTTTAATTGTTCTAGTAGAGAATGTTGACTTTCCTGCAACAATCTTGTTTAATCTTGGAATGAATTCATCCATTATTAACCTGATAGTGTATAAGGTTATGCGGCCAAGTAAATAACTTTGGTTCTTAATGTTGTAGATAACAATTTCTAAGGATGACACTGTCATTCTTGACGGAGCAGGTGACAAGAAATCAATTGAGGAAAGATGTGAGCAGGTTTGAGTTAATCTATAGATTTCATTTTACCATGGTTCATGTGCTGTATTTCCATCCTATGATTTGTCTGGTTTAATGATGCACCTGACTCGTTTGTGATGATTTTTGATACAGATTAGGTCAGCAATTGAAAATAGCACTTCGGATTATGACAAGGAAAAGTTACAGGAAAGATTAGCCAAGCTTTCTGGTGGTGTTGCAGTGCTTAAGGTATCATACTTATGGTCATCTTGGTTGTTAATGGTTTATCCCTAGTGAACATCCCACTGAGGTGATAAGATTAACATTTGAAACTGTCCTTCTGCAGATTGGTGGAGCCAGTGAGGCTGAAGTTGGTGAGAAGAAGGATAGAGTGACAGATGCCTTAAATGCAACTAAGGCTGCCGTGGAGGAGGGCATAGTGCCAGGTGGTGGTGTTGCTCTTCTATATGCGTCAAAAGAGTTGGATAAACTTCAAACTGCTAACTTTGATCAGAAGATTGGTGTCCAGATTATCCAAAACGCTTTAAAGGTTGGTCTCCTCTGAATGCTAGCAAAACTCTTTTTAATACTCTTTATTATTAGCTAAAATTTATTGGAAATTATTAATTGTGGGTCCTGCCACTCTTAATGAGTCTCATAATTTAGTGGTAGGACTCATCAAAATTTGTGATTTTCAATCACTAGTAAGGAGAGTATTTGTAAGATTGTTACTAGCTTTTCTGTCTGAATTTTTCTGATTTCCTCTTTTGCTCCTCTATATAGCATTTGATCTTTCACTTGTTAACTTGTGCATGGAAAACATAAACCATATTTTTTTTCCTTACCCTAATGTTCATTCTACAATATGATGGACTAGATTTTTCTCTAAGATCTAGTATAGTTTTACACCAACTTAAATTGCTAATTTGGGTTGTCATTCTTTTATTTCTTGTACCCAAAAATAATGCAGACACCTGTGCTCACAATTGCCTCAAATGCGGGAGTTGAGGGCGCAGTAGTTGTCGGAAAACTATTGGAACAGGATAATCCTGATCTAGGATATGATGCTGCCAAAGGTCAGTTATTTTCCCTGGTTGTGTTTTCATTCCATGTCACAACAAATACTGATCCTGCTGAGTGCTGATATATTTATATGGTATTTTCCTGCTTCATAATTAGGTGAATATGTTGATATGGTTAAATCTGGAATAATAGACCCCTTAAAGGTGATTAGGACAGCCTTGGTTGATGCAGCCAGGTAGGATGTTTAATAATTTGCTAAGGGTTAAAATATTTGTTTGTTATGGAGTTATCTTATGACCCTTTTTGTGCAGTGTATCATCTTTGATGACAACTACTGAAGCTATTGTGTCTGAACTTCCAAAGGATGATAAAGATACTCCAGCTATGGGTGGTGGAATGGGTGGAATGGGTGGCATGGATTATTAACCAGCTTCTATTGATTTGATTGCACCTGAAAACAATGGGATAGGTGCTGAACCAACACTTACAGCCTTTTTTTTTTTTTTTTTTGTTAAATTAGTTGTTGTGTGAAGGCATCATTGTAATCATAATGAGAGATCAAGATGTAGGTAACAAAATGTGACTGCAATAATTCCAATTATAAGATATTTCGAACCATTTTTACTTCTCAAATCAAGGCATTGTTCTCGATAAGTTGTTGGTTGAATGATTTCCGACATTAACCCATTGTTTTAGTAGAGAATGGCAAGAAAGAGAGGACTGTGTGTGTAGTATATAATTTGAAATGGTTTCACTTATTTCAATGCACAAAACGTAGAACTCTAAGGTAAGAGCATCTAAAATGAGAGGTGCTTATAAGCAACTTCATCTACTTTAAATGGGTCTTACTGTGTCATGTTATTTATAAATAATTTATATTATATTTTTATAATTTTTACTTTAATGAAAATTATTTATAAGCATTTTTACTTTGACAACTCATTATACATTTTTGACAATTCACACTATACTTTTTGATAAATTTTAAAAAAATTAATTATTATAAAAAATATATAAATATGAATAATAAAAAAATACATAATAAAAAATACAATAATAAAAAAATTACATAATAAAAAGAAATAAAAAATTATAACAAAATTAAAATTTATAACTCTTAACGTCTCTTTTTTAATTTCTCATTCTTTTTCTTTCTCTATCTCCAACTTTCTCTCTTTCTCTTTTTCACTCATTCTTTTTCTTTCTCTTTCTTCGACCTTCTCTTTTCCTCTTTCTCTTGTTCTCTCTCGTTCCCTCTCGTTCTCTTCTCTCTTTCTCTCGTGGGTGTGGGTGGTTGGTGTGGTTGTCGTTGGTGGCTGTCAGTGGCTGACCCGGTGCGAGTTTGGTGATGAGCGTCCCTTCGTTGGAGGTGAGCGATGCTGGTGTCAGCGGAGTTTCGTGGTGGCTAGTGCTGGTGCGAGTGGATCGGACAGAGACGAGGAGCTCGACGGAGACGCGGTAGCTGGTGCTGGTGTGAGTGGATCTCCGCGGTGGTTGCTGCTGGTGCAAGTGGATCTCCGCAGTGTTGCTGGTGCTAGTGAGAGTGGAGCGGACCGAGACGAGGAGCTTCGCGGATTTGCTGGTGCTGATGCAAGTGGAGCTTGTGTGATTTTTGTACCAATTACACCTCTCCATTTCACATTTAATAGTGCTAAGCACCGTTCATTCTCCAAGAAACGAAGCTAAAAAAATTAGAACTTCTCTTGCCTGATCCATTAGAAATTTCTTGTAAGCACGATTACTTATTTTTAAGATACACTATAAGCATCCCCGCTTGAGGTGCTCTACGTTACATTTGCAAACACACCCGGAGAGAAGTAAGAGAGGTTGTAGTTTTATGGTAGTTTTGGTTAGAGCAACTCCAATGGGAGTTGCTTGGCTCATCAAGCAACTGTAACATGAGTTTCTTACCATTGGAGAGGTATGAGGTGGCACCCAAAGTTTCTTGCAGAGGAGAGAGGGTTTCTTACTGAAGCAACGATTGCTTATTTTTGTGAACTAAAGGAGGCGTGGCGGAGGTGCAGTGGAGGTGCGCGGTTGGATAGCGGAGGCGCGCCGGTGGACAGCGGAGGCGCGCCAGTGGATGTTCTACCGTGGGTGGACGTTTTGGCTGGACCTGCGCGCAACGGCGGCGGCAGTAGACGGAGTTGGAAGAAGAAAAGGTGAAGAAAAGGAAATGGAAAAAGAAATGGTGAAGAGAAGGAAATGGAAGAAGAAAACCCTCTCGAAGACAAGAAGAAGAAGAGACCGTAAATAAGAAATAAAAAATACAAATTAAAAAATTAATTAAAAATAAGGAAAGATTCGTTGAAGTAACCGTTGAAGAGCCGTTGGAAAATTTTTTTTAAAAAAAAAAGAAGCATTTCTTATAAACGGGAAGCAACATTTAATGCAAAGAAAAATGCATTAAATGAATAGATCAAACTAGTCGTGAACAAATATATCTGCTTCAACGGACAAATGCAACAGGCAAATTCTATAGGCCTAGAGAGAATAAATATCATGTTAAATGCATATCTTAAAGACAATTTAAGGAGAAAGGCTCATCCTTAAATGGAGCATAAATTGTTAAGTCAGACGAAGACGGAAGTAATTCCCAGCAAGATTTTGAATGAGATAAATATAATACATATTGTTATTACTAACAAGTGTGTTAGTATTTCAGATATAAGTACAGGTAAACTGAAGAATAGAGAATATACATCCATACCAAAAAATATAAGAGATATGAGCCAAGCATTGGATAAAGGCTGAGCAAACGAAGGGGATACATTAGACGAAGACATAAAAATAGAATGAACAACCAAAATGAAGGGAGAAAGCTAACAAGACGGGGGATGAGGAGATCAAGCAATCAAACGAAATCAAGCCCAACACAAGAAGTAAAATAGTGAAGCCTCAGATGATACAAGACCGTGGACGATGGGCAAAACTAAGTTAAAGCACCCTAGACAGAGTCAAGTATCTACAATAGCCAATCAGACGGAGACTCGAATACACAGACGAAGATCACGGAAGCTGGATTGCGTCTGAAGACACAACGAGATAAACTACCTAATGTCCACACTCTTAGAAGAACATATCAAGTCATTAAAGTATAAGAAGGAAAATAAGACAAATGGATAAGCGCTTATCCACAAATCAAAATAGTGTGTGTTAGAGCAAGTACACCTACCAGCCAAGAAAAGACAACACCTATACAGCAACAGTACTAAGAAAGTACAAGAAATCTCGAGAAGTGCAAATCCAACAAGCAAACGTTAAATGCTAAGTCAGAAGCATTAAATGTCACATTTCATGAAGACTGTACAAACCAAATGAGAGAATCAGATGATAAGAAATCAAGCATAAGGACAAAGTCTGTCATTACCAAAATGAGACATCAAGGTATCAGACAAAGACTACAAGGAATAGCCAAGGCAAGACACGTACCAACAAAAGTCGAGATAGATGAAGCAAATAACATAGGAAATCAAGCATCAATAGATAAATAGTTGGAACACAAACATGTACCAGATGATCACAAAATATTCAGACAAAGCTATGTCAAGTGGAACTACTCTAAAGTACAAATCAGACGAGGGATGTGTCCAAGGCTCGAAGAAAGTCAATCCTACATCAGATGAAAGTTAACACAGACTAAGAGACACTCCAGAAGGAAACAATATTTTCCCATTCACTTTGTGAATCAGATCAAAGAAAAATCAAAGCACTAAATTTAGATGCTAAAGTACAAGTTAACCTTGAAGTGCATAGGACCATTAGACGAAGACGAAGAGTGGGACGCAAGCAAACAAGGAATCACGTCTCAAGAAACAAGCGAAGGTATCTATAAAAATCCCAGAGCACTCAACGTAAAATGCATACGAAGAAACAAAGAGAAGTACGCAAAAGCAGAACATGCATGTGTTAGAAAAAGTACATTACTTTTTCAGAAGAGGACAACAACTATATTTCTGCAAGACTAGAAAAAGACAAATAATTTCTTGGTCTCAGATAAAGTCAAACACTACTGCAACAATACAGAGAAAAATATGCGCATTGTCTATAAACGGGAAGCAACATTTAATGCAAAGAAAAATGCATTAAATGAATAGATCAAACTAGTCGTGAACAAATATATCTGCTTCAACGGACAAATGCAACAGGCAAATTCTATAGGCCTATAAATATGCAATGTCATCAAACCTGAAGGTGTGGGCAAATAGGCAATAAAAGAATATTCATAAGCTTTGCCCAAGGGCTAATTGATTAGAAAAAGAAGAGTGATGTCAAGCCCACGAAACAGAGAGATCAGAGATGATACTCATAGTCATATGTACAATGTAATGTTGTAATTTTATCTCTGTAAACTAAGGTGTTCAAAATGTTAGTCATGAACAAAACCTTAGTGAGTGTTGTAAACCTACATATCCTCTCCATAAGAGTAACCCAAACACTCAAACACGAGTCTCTATAAAACTAAGGTAGCAAACCTTAGTGAGTGTAGTAATTCTCAATCCTCTCTGTGAGAGTCATGTAAACGCTCAAACCAAACATACTTAGCCAACTTTGTAAAGCCTGAAGAGGCTAGGAAAAGAATACTTGTAAAGCCCGGAGGGGCTTGTCAAAGAATACTCACTGCTAGCCAGAAGTGGCTGATAAGAAAATACTAGTGTTGGTGAGTGAAGTCGACAGGCTAGGAGTGGTCGAGAATACTTGGGGAACCAAAAGTGATTCAAACCAAACATACTTAGCCAACTTTGTAAAGCCTGAAGAGGCTAGGAAAAGAATACTTGTAAAGCCCGGAGGGGCTTGTCAAAGAATACTCACTGCTAGCCAGAAGTGGCTGATAAGAAAATACTAGTGTTGGTGAGTGAAGTCGACAGGCTAGGAGTGGTCGAGAATACTTGGGGAACCAAAAGTGATTTAAGAATACTAGTGTTGGTGAGTAAAGCCAACGGGCCAGAAGTGGTCGAGAATACTTGGACCAGAAGTGGTATAATGTTTATGTATTTATTATTGCTTTATTTTATTTTTAATTTCTACTTATTGTGTATTTTTTCTCATAATTCATTTTTTTTATTGTAGTGCAATTGTCCTTTTTAATAAAAATTTTAATTGGTTCATAAATGATTTGAAAAAAAATTCTAAAAGCTGAATTTCTTAAAGTTTATTACCATTGGAGTAAAATTCTGTTTGAGTTGCTTAATGCTGACATGGCACAGTGAGGACCACTTTTTTCAGTTTCCAATGCATGAAGCAACTCAAATGAGTTGCTTCCATTGGAGATGCCCTTAGGAAAGAAACTAGGAGAGAACAGTGAGTGTAGGATCCACTTTACTATTAAACTGCTTTTCGTACGAGAAGAAAAATGACAAAAAGGAAAGGATTTTGGCCAAAGTTACCTAACTAACCTTGCTATAATTATATAATTGGTATATTATGAGAATTAAATTTTACAAGAAAAAAATTGGCAAAAAGTATATTTTTAATGAATATTCATTTTAAAAAGATATATATATATATATATATATATATATTTATTTATTTATTTTAAGTATGATAATATGTTATTGTTTCTTAAAATTTTATGTTATATTATTTATATACACACATATTTAGGGTATTATCTTACAAGTAAATTCCTATTT